AGTGTCTCACACAGCTCCGGGGGGTGAACAAAGGCCTTCTGTAGCGAATCGATGCGTTTTTGTAAGAAAAATATCCATATTCAAAACGTAATAATCACTTTAATCTAGCTTGCGCCAACAGTTGTACACAGAAGCAGCTCCGGGCTGATGACGTATGAGGTCGGCGTTGCGCATGGGCCGGTGAGTCTCGTGAAAACCATCGTTTTGATCTCTCCCCTGCGCTTCCGCGTTCGTCACTTCTGAGCGGCGCATGCGCAAAGCCGACCTCATACGTCATGCGCCCGGAGCTGCTTTTGTGTACAACTGTTGGCACACGCTAGTTTAAAGTGATTATTACGTTTTAAATACGGTTATTTTTCTTACAAAAACGCATCGATTCGCTACAGAAGGCCTTAGTTCACCCCCCGGAGCCATGTGAGACACTTTTTTTTTATGGATGGGCGCTTTTTATTTCACTTCTTTTGGACTGAAGCACTGCAACACCCGCTGACTGCAATGATAGAGCTTGGAATAGCCAGGACAATTTTTAATATAACTCCGACTGGATTCGTCTGAAAGAAGAAAGTCATATACACCTAGGATGCCTCGGGGGTGAGTAAAACACAGCCTAATTTTCCTTTTTGGGTGAACTAACCCTTTAAGCGTCACATGATCCTTCAGAAATCATTCTAATATGCTGGTCAAAAACATTTCAATGCTGAAAACACTTTATGGAATAGAAAGTTAAAAAGAACAGCATTTATTTGAAGTAGAAATCTTGTGTAATAATTTAAATGTCTTTACTGTCACTTTTGATTAATTTAATGCATCCTTGCTGAATAAAAGTAAAATAAATAACTCAATAAATATCTTTTACCCCAAACTTTTGAACGGTAATGAAAATCACACAAAGCTTACACTCATCTCTGTTGTATGACGTTCAGGAACAAACACATACGAGGAGGCAGCAGCATACATCCAGTGCCAGTTCGAGGATCTGAACAGAAGAAAGGAAACAAAGGAGATCTACACACACTTCACTTGTGCCACGGACACCAAGAACGTACAGTTTGTGTTTGATGCGGTCACTGATGTCATTATCAAGAATAACCTCATAGAGTGTGGCCTCTATTGAAGCATCATCTGTCTGCTAAGGTAAGTGCAGCGAAAGAGAAAAGGGCCTACAGGACAGAATGTGAGGACCACAGTGGAGCGTTTTCACAGTGTGCATATTTATCTGTGCATGTTTTCACAAGGAAATCATGAATCATCAATATTTGCACTTATTTTTTTTTCTAAATTTAGAATATAAAACCATGCGTATTGAAACCCACAGACCACTGGTAATTTTAAAAGCATGAAATGTGTTCATTTGAAATGTGTTTCATATATTTTATTATTATTATTAAGACATGTTTTTTATTTACAGTTATTTATGGAAGATTTCCGAGGTTCACTGACTGGTTGTTCCTGGTTTTGTCTGTTTCCTCTGTTGGCGAATAAGCGAGAGAGACTTCCTCCCCACTGCATGCACTCTTCACACTAAATGCAGTAGCTATGCCCATGGACATTTTTTCCCATATCATTCGTAATGACAATCTGTTATGAACATTATTTCTTTGCATGATACCACTATGCATAGATCATAATCCACAATAGACAGTAATATGTGTCTATGTACTAACCTCAGTTGCATCAAATATCTTTGTTTATGTTTTTTTAACACAGCAAGCAACAAGATTTCGATCTGAGTGCTTTTAATAACAATGTATCGGTTCTTATGGGAAAGTTACCATTTTGCCATGTCTTTCATAGCAATTACTTAGCTAATTTATTCATTTTTAGGTCTGTCTTTTAAGTTTGCATATATTTGCATACTTCTCCGAATTAAGCCGCTAGTGTGAGAACTATTGTTGTATATTGTGTTGTATTATTATCATACCTTTAGTAATTCACAGCCCAATCACACAGCAACAGTGCACTGTTTATTTTTTCACTAATTAGACATGGATCACTTTATATAACACTTTATATAACCCACTATTTTTGTATCTCTTGAAGACCAGTATAGGTGTGAACAAATGTTTTTTTACAGATACATTTCTGAATGGTTCAGAAATAATGACCCTCTGTTGGGTCAAGAACACGTGGGAACAAATGCCATGAAAACAGAACATGATGGCCAGATTTTACAAGACTTGTTTGATGTGCTTTTGTTTAATCCTGTGGATTTCAGTATTTTTAAACAAACTGACACAATGTGATCTGGTTTTTAATACCTGTATTTAATCTGAAAAGTGTTGACATCAAGTCAGATGTTGCTTCCAGAACATGCCAAACAGCCAGAGTTACCTGCATGTGCAAGACCGATATTATCCATATATTATGTAAAAAGTATGGTATTCCAATTCTGGTACATTCATGTACTCAGTCTGGATTCATGTAACAATCTGTGATTTCTTTACTATATCACTGTGCGTTACTATTTCAGCTATTTGAAACATGAAAGTGCAAATGAACAACTAGCTTTAATGATAGCACTGAATCACTAATATCCTAATAACCTGGTTTGTTTAATTTTCTGAAAACCCTTTTTTGAGTAGTATTTAAAACCTGTTTTGTTTTATGGGCTTTTCTTATCATATGTAACTCTCCAAAGTACAATGTCAACAATTGCTGCAGTTTTGAAAAAAATACATATATAATCAAATTACCTTTAAGGAAACATATACAGTAGTATATACTAATCATGATCAGAAATGATCTACAACACTTGAGTTGAAAATAATCTTTTAATTTTAGTCATTGATGTTCAAACAATGAAGGCAAATTTTGACTAAGATCATACCTAAACGTATTTTATTTGTCTTGTTTTAATGAGACTTTGTATCTGATCTAATACTTCAAATGTGCAATTGCCATCTTTGGATCTTTTATTTCCTATTATTCCACCATTTCTCTGATGGTGCCTGTGGCTCTAAATATGTATATATGTGTAGTCTCACAATTGTTCGACATCTTTAATACTCATTTTTGCTGTAATGAAGACACCTCTTTTTGATTATATAATACTCTTAGCAAAAAGTGTTTTGTACTGTGGTTCATTCAAAATTAGCTACGACACAAAGGGTCTGTGTTTGAAAATCCCAATTAAAACAATGTAAGGTCAGTGTTTTGTGAAAGTAGCGCAATTACAGTAGCGCCAATGGCCAGCCATTTAGTAATTCAACACCAGCAACCAGTGAAATTGATGCAAGTCTTTATTTCATGTGCCTACATTTACATTCCAGAACATCTCCACAAATTCAGACCTCAGGTTTTAAACAAAGCAACAGGCCATTCTAGAATTTTCACTTGTTACTGTAATACTGTATCATAAATATATAGATTTATGTCTCCATGTATATTTTATATAGAATCTTTTTTTAAACAGATTTTTTTCTTACTCTTATTTACAAAACATACTGCCCTACTGTATTTGGGGCTGAAAAATAAACATCTTTCATATATTGTGTGAGCTGGCAGAATTCAAACAATCACGTCTTGCTGATATGCAAGTTTTAACTCTCTCAAAGGAGACCAGATGCTGTACATATAAGAATGTTTCTAATTGCTACCATAGGACCTGATGGGGTCCCACTTCAATTTCTTTAATACAGCAACATTTAATTGCATAAAATTTACTTTTCTTTTTCTGGAAATGAATGGAAAAAAACATCTAACAGTCAAACCTCTATAGGTTTAACATTAAATACATTGAGAGGAAGCTTCTCCACAAGCATCAATAACTCGTAGCATCAAAAGTCCCCTTTCTTTTGTAATCCTTCTCTCGTTGTCTCTACTAGTGGTTTGACAGGAAATGTGTTAGAGTCCCTTGGCAGGGCAGAGGCCATTAGTCTAATCTGGATCTAGTCTCTGAGGTTTGGTCAAGTTGTTGAGCTTGTTCTTTGGCCGGGGATCCGCTGACCACACTTGACTGCTTGCTGTAGAGTTCACCTTCGTGCCATCTGTGGATGTTCTTTTGTTACTGTAGCAACTTCACCAGAGTAAATCCAATCATGCTGGTGGGGATGGGACAGAAAGATCTGGAAAAAGTCAATTATTAAAAAAAATTCTTGTTGAAATGATTTACAGAACTTTCTGAAATCCATCTACACTGGAAGAGTGGAAGTGTTATGCCATCTAAGCATGTTTACTACTACGGACCATGCTGATGTTAGAAGTATAGATAAAAATACTACTACTACTGAAGGCGATGGGAGTTATTTACTTATATAACGTTCCGTTTGCATCCAGTGTAGACGGAGTAAGAATCTGCTTTGTTTTTTTTAGGGAACATACCTTTGAAAAAGTAGATTGTGTTTAGAACAGACCGCAGTCCTTAAGGTTTTCTTTGATGATAATGTCTGTCACAGCGTTAAACACGATCTCGACATTCTTTGTGTCCGTGGCACAGGTCAGGTGTGCATAGATCTCCTTCACTCCCTTCTTCATGTTCAGATCTTGAAATTGAGTCTTGATGTAGTTGCTGGCATCTTCATATGTGTTTGAACCTGTAAAATTTGGATATTCAAAATCATATTTGGTGGGCATATTCAATAAAGGTTGTTAAGACTGTTGTGCATTTGTATTTACAGTTCCGGTACCACCAAGTGTTTGCTCTGAGCTATGATGCTCATGCATACTGTTGAAGATGAAAAGTCATTTCATTCATTTACTCACTTTCATGCCGATCTAAACCTGTTTGACCTTCTATCTTCTGTTGAGATGAATTTTTGAAGAATATTCTGATGACTATTTCAATATAATGATGTGAATGACTGTGAAGTTACAAACATAATGCAAAAGCACAATAAAAGATCCATACCAGCCAAAAGAAGCCACATCAGAAGCAGACTGAATTGAAGTCATTATTCATTATTCCCTTCCTCACTTCCAGTGAGCTGTTAACCATTGTGAATAATTCAATGAGTTCATTTAAAAGATCGGGCTCAAAAGAAGGATTAATTTGTGAATCAGACATTGTCTCATGAACGTGCCAAGGAGAGCTACAGCTAGGGCAAATCAAGATTACTAACTTAAATTTAAATCTGTACCACACACAAAGCTATCATATGGTTTCGAAAAAGTGACAAGACCTCTTTTACGATACTTTTGTGGTTCTTTGCTGTCATTCTGTAGCTTCATAACCCCAGTCCTCATTTGCCTTCAGTTAATTTAAAAGAATGCCCAGGATGCTTTCTTTAAAAAGTTTAGAAGTTGTGTTCTACAGAAGAAAGGCATACAGATTTGGAACGAATTGAGGGTGAGATCATTCAATTTTGGGTAAATTACCGTTTAAAGGTGGTGTGTTTATTTTTATAGAGACCTCACTCACCATCATATTCGGGAAAACAGATACTCAGGTGGACTTTCTTGATCTTCTCCTGGAAAAGATCTTTCTTGTTGAGGAAAAGCACAATGGAAGTTGTGGCGAAGAACCTGTGGTTGCAGATACTGTTGAAGAGATGGAGACTCTCATGCATGCGGTTCTGGGGGAAACGTGGGAAATAAGACAACAGTATAAGTTGAGATGCACTGGTAAAGCTTAAAACATCAGTATCAAATCCATTGTTTGGTCTCTGTGATATTTGTAATGTGAATGATCTTGTGTTCTTTGCTGATTAAGGGATGTGTAAGGACTGCTCTTCTCTCTTTGAAATAAAGGTTCCAAAAAGAGGTTTGCTCTGCGATGCCATAGAAGAACCATTTTTGGTTCCACAAAGAAGGTTTCAGTGAACAATTTTTAAAAGAACCATTTTTTCTTAGTGCGAAGAACATGTTAAAAAATCAAAAGAACCTTATTCCACTATAAAGAATCTTTTGCTCAATCGAAAGACTCCATAGATGTTAAAGGTTCTTTATGGAACCAATAGACGGCAATGAAGAACCTTTATTTTAAAGAGCGTTGCCTAAAGATGAGCACTTACCACTTCATCATCTTCTACCAACACCATGTCATAAGCACTCAGGGCTCCACAGAAGATGATGCAAGTCACACCTTCGAAACAATGAATCCATTTCTTCCTCTCTGACCTCTGGCCACCCACATCAAACATCCTGCAGCCCAGTGAAAAATCATGAAATGGTTTCATTCAAAATGCTGGTTCTTTTTGCTCTAGTTACACAAGATCCGCTGAAATCTACCTGACCCTCTCACATGGACACACTGTAAAAAATGATATGATGAAAAAGCCATGACAACTTATGTTTTTAAGTTACTTTAACTCATAAAAATAATTTAAGCAATTTCAACTTTTTTTTATAAGTTATACTAGATTCAACTTGATTTTTTAAGTCAGTTTAATGTTACTGAAATTCAAAGAGTCCAATTTAGTTCAGTGAACTTAACATTTTAAGTTGTAGCTTATTGGCACTAACCGGCCAAATCTCTGAACATGGATTCATGCGCAGGAGTCAAATTTGTACATGAATTTAATATCAGAGTCCTTTCCAAGAAAAAAAAAAATATTCAGCAAATCTAGACATTAGACTCATGTTTGAAACATGAGACATCGTTCAACGTGGATGAGGTGAGTGAATGCTTGTGTAACATAATTTTTGGGAGATTATTGTTCATTTGAGCAGAATTAGTTATGTTCTGTCGTTGTTTTCCTCATAACTAGAAAATTTATGTTAAAAATTTTGAAATTAAGTTGAAACAGCAAATATTGTAAAGTCAAATGAACTTCAATAAAACAATTCAGCACTAGGCAAGATTTAAATTAGTGAGTTGAAATGACTTGTACTTTTAAGTTGATTTAACTTACAATTTTAAGGCAGCCACAAAACTTATGTTTTTAAGTTGAAAGGGGTGAACATTTTTTACAGTGCAGTCACACATTTTAGGTCTTCTTGAGTTTTTTGACAGTAGCAATTTTTGTGGCTCTCAGTTTTAACGTAGAGTATGCACAACAGTTGATTCAATCACATTAGCCAGGTAAGACACACCTGAAGTAGAGCTCTTTGCAGGAGAACTGTTCCTCAATGATACCAGTAGTCTTGACTCGAGATCTCAGCACATCCTGCTCAGTGGGGAGGTAGTCAGGTTTGCAGATTCTGTCCATTTCGCTCAAGTAGCTGTTGGAGATGAGCCATAAATTTACAGACACACCTGAATTGTCCATCTGCTAAAGTCCTGAAAATCTCCAAAGCAAAACAACTCTGTACTATAGGGGTGCCACAGCGCTACAGAGTTAGGCTTCAACCTTAATTAAACATACCTGATCCAGATAATCAAGCCCTTCAGGATTATTTGAAAACCAAAGGCATGTTTGTTGAAGCAGGGTTTGAACTAAACTCTGCAGGACTGCGACCGTCCAGAAGTTCTAACCCCTGGTGTTCTGCATTCCCATAATACAAAGGTAATTATGGACAATGTAACCACATCCTCAGGCGCCAATGAACTGTAGGTTTTGCTGTCCCTGTTGAGTGTTGTACTTACTATCCTGCAGAGTCGTTCAGCTGGTACTCAGCAGCTCTCTCAAACGAGGCCTGCACACCCGTATCCTTCCATAGCCTCTTGATGACGTCTGCCAGCTCTGGAGGCATGGAGCCCTCCTCAATGGAGTCAGACAGGTTCTGGAGCTTCTGACCGTCCTCCTGTATGACACAAAGAAATGGGGCACTGTTAGCCATCATGCAGTGAGTTATTAATTCTTTCTATTATTTAATAAGGCACGATAAAAAAGGAAGTAGCAACATATCTTTTCTTCCTAATTGTTACATAAATCCAAGTGTAATGGATTATCGAGAAAAAAAAGTAGAACCAAAGACTTGGTTCTATACATCAGTTTTTGATTTGGTTTTAAGATGTAGAGTTTTCAGGGGCAGGGTTTAAGCAATCTAAATGTTTGGAATCAGCAGAGAAAAGTCTATTGATTTCAATTAGCCACTAATATACACCCTGTAAAGGTAAAGAAGGTACACAAGGTGTACCTTTTGAAAGGGTGAAAACTTTTGTACCTTTATTCTAGAGAGTGTAGATTGTGAACAGTTCATCCATGCATAATGTTTAATTTTTAAAAATGTTGAAATGAAAACAGATTTCCTTTCATGCCAAAATTGTGTATGTTGTTGTGTTTCAACGTGTGCATTTTGTTGGCATGTGAATGTCTACACACTAATCATTGGTCTTTTTGTGCTTTGGAGCTGTTTTGCAGACCTGTGCTGCTGGTGACCCAAAGTTGATGTCCAGCATCTCCATGCCTCTGATGATGGCCAGAGCAGATTGCAGGATGTTGCCAAAAATAATAGATCGAAACTCCATTTGTTCTTCTTTTGTATAACCACCTTGATGGAGAATTCTTGGGGGGAGCAACAGAGTGTTTTGATTAAAGTTTTGAAGCTGAGTACTGTACATACAGTACATATACAGAGCAGGCTTCACATTCACTACCATCTGTTGGTCACCCATTAGCATTACACTCTTAAAAATAAAGGTGCTTAAAAGGTTCTTCACAGCGATGCCATAGAAGAACCATTTTTGGTTCCGCAAAGAACCATTCAGTCAAAGGTTCTTTAAAGAACCATCTCTTTCTTACCTTTTTATAAACTGAAGAACCTTCTTTCGCCTTCTTTTTGTGAAACAGAAAGGTTCTTCAGATGTTAAAGGTTCTTTATGGAACAATTTAAACAAAAAGGTTCTTCTATGGCATCATGAAGCAGCACCTTAGTTTTTAAGAGTGTACAAGGGGTACAACATTGTATGCACTGACATTTCCCAAATGCACACCAATTGTTAAAGAAAATTTCAACTAGAATGCATGGATGAGATTTTAATTTCACTTCAGGTTGGATAAAATATATATCCTGAATTCTGTGCTTCCACAGCCTGTAATACAAACGGACTATTCTGAGTATACATTTTGGATGTTGCATGTGTTTAAACTCACTTCATCTGTTTTATAATGGTGCTCTTCCCTGACTCACCAGCACCTACAAGACAGAAAGAAAAATATGATGCAGAACAATGTATGAGCAACAAAAGAACAAATGAGGAGCCCTCAAATGCTCTTAAACGGAACTTCAGACAATCTTCCATCTAAATAC